TTTGACTTCTAAGTCCCTTGATTATCATTAAGCACAGGTTTCCTGACTTCACACCTCCTGATTGGCCTCTCTGTCTGTCCCCTGCTCCCGCCTCTCGCTCCTCCTCCCTCCCAGCCTTTGTTCTCCTGCTACATTACCTTTGCTTACTGTCTCTCTCACACCTGAAGAAGGCTCCACGGCCGAAACATTGTCTTTTCTTTCATCTTTTTTCCAGCATGGAATAAACCTATACTTGTTCCTTTGTAGCCTACGCATGCTGAGCAGCTCCCCACCTGAACTACTACAGCTTTAGGAAAAGTTTGTTTTAATATTACTTGCACACATCACCTGTTTCCAGACATAATCGATGCACCATCACAGCAAAATCCAACGCACAGAGAGGGATCCAGTCCCAGCGGCTCCAAAACCTCTAATATTGTTTCTGATATTCTGTTGGAAGTCATGTCGGCTGTCTGTAGAAATCCAATCGCACCAGTATGACAGCAGCGAATGCACATTGAAACAAGTTCACGTTTAGACTTATCTTTGTACTGGTGAGCCAAGATAGCATAAAACGTAAACAGTGCTTCATGCAATTCAGCTTTTATTTTCCTTAACAGTAGCGAAGCTGCAGACTCCACTAGCTCAGCCTGTATCTCTGGGCTCATGAGCTTAGCATTTTAAGGAGCTGTCTGAGCCTCTTTTCAATAACTGGGTCATACTTTTTTGCAATAAGCTTGAATATTTCTATAAAATTCCCTTTGTGACGTGACTCTTCAGTTTCCCTGTGCCCTCAAAGTGGAATATCCTGCTTTGCGCACAGCAGGACAATGTCCAAAACAACTTCCACATGCTGGTGGTTCCTCTCTATAAATGAAACGTTAGCATCCCCCTGCAGCTGAATTAGCACTGTCCCACGGCCGCTCGGAGCATGGCTCACCTGGTGTGCCTCTGACTTGCTAAATGCTATATGATACTGTTCACTGTTCTCATGTTTTGAACAAGCCTGTCTAAACAAATTCCAGTTTTTCAATCCTTCTCTACTGAACACTAACTCGGTATGCATCTCTGGGAC